CCAGCCTTTTACTGATACTGAGCAGTACAAGTAGAATTTGAGCCAAATGTCCACCTGATTTCATAGCCCATAATCTTTCCAAGTTTATAGTGATATTGAAGAAATAATAGTCCTTGAGAATATTAACACCTGCTGTAGTAGGAAAGTTTGGAGAACCATAGTCAGTCTTAAATTGTCAAAGAATGAGATTTTGGGGAGGTAGGCCCTAAGCAGAAGTAAACATAAGGGAATTGCAACAAAAATGTGTACTAACTTTGTTGTTTCTTGAGGTGGTGGTATGTAGTCAAGACTGGCTTTAAACTCATGTGGTCAAGGATGGCCTTGAACCCAACACTACTTCCTGTATTTCCATCCTTTTGGGATTCTTATAGTTCACCACTACACACCCACTAACTTTATAGATTTAAAGGCCTGCCAAGCAGATTCAGAGTTCCAAAGAGCAGAGAGAACAGATTTAAGTAAGAAAGGTCCTTATGTTCAGAAAGTTAGACTATGAGGTAAATGGTTAAGGAAAATAGGCATACTCTCTGCTTGCTTTTGTCTCTGAAGTGCTGACATTAAAAGCCTGTGCCGACATTGTCTGGCTTCATTTTTCCGGGGTTCCTGCTTCTGTTGTTTTGTTCTTTTTTGTGATTTTTTTTTTTTTGAGACTTGGCTTCTTTCTGTAAGAGCTCTGGCTGACCTCAAACTCACATAGACTACCTGTGTCTGTCACCCTGTATACTTGGATGAAAGGCATGTTCCACCATGCCCACCTGCCAGTTTTTAAATATTTTTCATAACTTATAATGAGAGTGTGAGGGCTGAGGGCTGAAGGGGTGGTTCAATGTTTAAGACTTATGCAGTCTTGAGGATCTGAGATTGGATCCCATTAAAGATGATTTAACATACTCAGGACTCTATGGGCGAATAGTCATAGGTTATTTTGTGCCCTAATTATACAAAGGACCTAAGCATGCACAGGGTCTTTGAAAAGATCTCCCTGTAGATAATGACACCAAAGCATGATAATCTCTGTACTTGGATGAAGCTCAGACTATTTTTTTTCCTTTACAGACTATTTGTTCAATGTTGCCAGTGCTGCCACAAAGAAGATCACTGAGTCTTTTGCTGAAACTGCTCAGTCAATAAAGAAATCAGTGGAAGAAGGAAAAATAGATGACATCATTGATAAGGTACATTTAGATAACTTGTAAAAGTAAGAACATATGAAAATTGTAAGTAATCATCTCTCTTTTTTAGTTTTTGTCGAGATAGGGTTCCTCTGTGTAGCCTTGAGTATTCTGGAATCACTTTATAGACCAGGCTCACCTTGAATATCAGACATCTGCCTGTCTCTGCCTCTCAGAATGCTCGAGATTTTAGGCATATGCCACCACACCTGGCTGTAAGTCTTTAACTCAAGTAAAATATAATATTATCCTGATGAGATGTTTTTTTGAGAATATCTTTTCTTAGGCTGGAGTGATGGCTCAGAGGTTAAGAACACTGGCTACTCTTCCAAAGGTTCTCTTGAGTTCAATTCCTGGCACCACATGGTGGCTAACAACCATCTAAGATGGGATCTGGTGCCCTCTTCTGGAGAGCAGGTGTATATGTAGGCAGAACACTATATATATAGTAAATCTTTCTTAAAAAAAGATCTTTTCTTCATTCTTGGATTATTTCATACACGTACACAGTATATATTGATTGTAATTCTTAACTTTCAATGTAATTTGACTTTTCATGTGTTTTGTTTAACAGAGCATAATTGGCGATTTTCAAAAAGAACAGAAAAAATTTGTTGAGGAACAGCATACAAAAAAGTCAGGTATGAAACAGGTTTTAGTGCATTTATCTGTGTCTGTTTATGTGTAGTTTGTGATGCTGGAAATCAGGCGCAAGTCATTGCACATACTAGACAAGCACTACTACTGAGCTGCAATCCCAGCATCCCTACCAGGTTTTATTGAGCATCTACTATGTGCTAGACTTAAACTAAGTCTCTAAGAATACAAAATGTATAATACTTGGGTAGAGCCCAGTGGTAGAACATGTGCATAGTATTTTCAAGGCTCTGGGTTAGAGTCTTAGCACCAAAAAAGTTATATGTATAGCCAGGTATAGTGGCTCAACCTGTAATCCTAGCATTTGGGAAGCTAAAAAAGATTTGCTATGAGTGAGGCTGTACTCCCAGCTGGTCTACATGATGAGTTTTAGAACAGCCAGGTCCTTGTCTCTAAAAAAGAAAAAGTAACACACACACAGAGAATTCAGTCTTTTATTGAACATGTTAGAGAAGAGGGTCAATCAAAAAGACCAAAGCCTAGCTGGGCAGTGGTGGTTCACGCCTTTAATCCCAGCACTTGAGAGGCAGAGGCAGGCAGATCTCTATGAGTTCAATGCCATTCTAGTCTACAGAGCAAGTTACTAGACAGCCAAGACTACATAGAGAGACCCTGTCTCAAAAACAAACAAAAAGACTGAAGCCAAGTCAGGCCTGTGGTGTACACTCCTGTGATCCTGGTACCCAAGAAGGTAAGGCAAAAGGATTGCCATTAGTTGGGACCATCCATGGTTAGATTAGCAGGACCTAATATAAAAGCAAAAAATAAAAGGGGGCTGGAGAGATGGCTCAGCAGCTAAGAGTTCTGTCTGCTCTTCCAGAGGTCCTGAGTTTAATTCCCAGCAACCACATGATGGCTCACAACCACCTATACTGAAATAGGATGCCCTCTTCTGGCATGCAAATGTGCATGTAGATAGAGCACTCATACATAAAATAAGCTAATTAATTAATTTAAAATATTTTAAAAACCAAAATAAAGGATAACCTACCTGAGTCCTATAACCCCTAGCATTTTAGAGGTACAGGTAGAAAGACTACCTCATCATGTGAGGGGCAAATCTGGAACTGCCTCTTTAGAATAGATTCCTTTGGATCTGCCATGTATTGGTGGTTAGGGAGATAGTCTACTATAAGAAGCAGATGGGTGCTTGAGTGGAGTCCTGGATTCTCTTCTTAATCATGTCATCTCGGTATCGTCAGTATTCAGCTTCTAACTGTTCTTCAACAATTTGGTTCTAGCCCTATCGCTTATTGCCTCTAAATTGTCTTTTGCTTTGGTTTCACTATTCAAGATCCTGTCAATTCTCTCTTTCCTTTCCTTCCCTCTCCCTCTCTCTGATTTTCATTACCTTTATTTACTTCTGGCCTTTGTATGGCAGAGGACAACTTCTAGGACTGGGATCTATTCTTATACCATGTGTGTCCCAAGGATCGACATGGCATCAGGTTAGCAGTAACTACTTTTAACAGCTAAGCCATCTCAATAGTCCTTTCTATTTATTTTTATTGTTAATTATGTATATGTATATAAAATATATATATAGGGCATATCCTATATATATCACTGAACCCACTGAGCCATCTCTCCAGATTTTTGTTGTTGTTGTTGAGACAGGGTTGTACTTGTGTCTTTGGCTGGTCTGGAACTTGTGTAGTCCAGGATGGCCTTGAATTGACAGAAATGCCTGCCCCTGCCGCCCAAGTGCTAAGACTAAATGGATCACCATGCCCAGCTTCTTTTTGTTTAATAACGTCTCACTCTAGCCCAGGCTTTTTAGAACTTGAAACAGTTATTTGCGTCAGCTTCCCAAGTGCCAGGATTACAGGCATATACTACCATGCCCAGAGACATATATAATACATTAATCTAACACTAATTTTGCTAGTTGACCCAGTAATGTTCTTTATAATATTTCCCCCCAGAATGTAGTTAAGTTTAAAAACTAGTTGAGGATATATTGTATTCTGTTACTTCACCTACAGTTTTTTAATCTGGAATGTCCTAACTTTTTTTTTTTTTTTTTTTTTTGTCTGTTTTTGAGACAGGGTTTTAGGCAATCCTGGCTGACCTCATATTTGCTATGTAGCTGAGGTTGTCCTTGAATTCCTGGTCTTCCTGAATCCACCTCCAAGTACTGAGGCTGGGCCGCTCCACACTTAATATACTTTTGTATATTTGAGCTTTATCTGATATTTCCTCATGTTTAGAATCAGATTGTATAGTCTTGATATTTTGTCCTTCTCAAAATAACATGTTCAGGGATCTATAGTGTGTTTCTCCTCTACTGTTTGTGTATATGTATGCCTGTATAGACACATGTGTGCCACTTTACACATGTGAAGGTCAAAGGATTCTTTCACCATGTGGGTCCTAGGCATTGAATTCTCCTCTTTAGTCTTAATGGTTAAGTACCTTTACCCACTGATTATCTCATTAAATTGCTGTCAGACTTCTGTACTGTCATTCAAGAAAATTATTTATTGACCAAATGCATATGTGCATAAAGCTTACAAATTAAAAGTTTAGGTGTTGCAATGAATAACCATATTTGGAGCTCGTTGGTAAATTATTGTCTTAAGTGGTCCTATAAAAACTTTTCTTGTTTTTTGAAATGACACGTTATGGTGTAACTATTGTAACCATGTAGTGCCCGAAGAAGCCAGAAGAGAGTATCAGATCCCTGAAACTGGAATTAGTAGGCAGTTGTGAGCTGCCGTGTAGGTGCCCAGATTATCTGCAAGAGCAGCAAGTGCTCTTAACCACTGAACTATCTCTCTAGCCGCCTATAACCTTTTTGTTTTCTCGTCTGTAGAATCAGCTGTGCCTCCATGGGTTGACTGCCATGATGAAGAAGCAATTCAACAGCAGATTTTGGCTTTATCAGCTGTAAGTATCCTGTAAATACCCCTTGTAGGTAACCTTTTTCTCCTGTCATGTTACAGCTCTGTTCATAAGAGTTAACCTTTCGCTAAATCTTTTGTTGTTGTTGTTGATTTCGATTTTTTTTTTGTTTTCTTTTCTTGTTATTGTTTTGTTTTCAAAACAGGGTTTCTCTATGTAGCCTTGGCTGTCTGGTAATTTTCTCTGGGAGGCAGATCTGTGAGTTCAAGGCCAACCTGATCTACAAAGTGAGTTGAGGACAGCCAAGGCTACACAGAGAAAACCCTGTTTAAAAAAAATTACATTTACTTATTTTCTGTATGTTTTACACACACATCACAGCACATGTGGAGAACACAGTATAACATGCAAGGAGTTGGTTCTCTCCTACCATGTGAGTCCAAGGGCTCTCTGAACTATCTCACTGGAAGCTCCATTTTATCCTATCTCTGACCCCATTGAAGAACTAGAGAATAAACTCAGGCCTTGTGTCTTGTGAATTTATGCATATGCTCTATTATCACTGAGCTACACCACCTGTACCCCACCTCTACTGTTCTGTTTTGTTTTGTTTTGTTTTTTCTAGCAAAAATTTATGAGTCGTTCTTGGCTTGTACCTCCGAGTCTTTCTTGGCTTATACCTCCTCCACAGGAAAGCCTGCTAAATATTGATTGAAATAATTGTACTCATGGACTAGAAACTCTACTTCTAGGAATTTGTTCTAAAGATACCATTTTAAGGCCCAGCAAGATGGCTCAGTGGATAAAAAAAAAAAAAAAAAAAAAAAACTTGGTGACCTGAGTCTAATCCCTTAGACAAATGTATGCAAGTATAGCTGACTTTTAGAATTCAACAGGTTAGAAACTACTTAAATGACTATAGACATGGGTCTGGTTTAGTAAGTTATGGTAAATTAGTGCTCATTTGATTTAGGCATTAGAGCTAGAAAGTTGTTCATGACTTTGAAAGAAAAAGGAAAGTCAGGGGCTGGAGAGATGGCTCAGTGGTTAAGACCACTGTCTGCTCTTCCAAAGGTCATGAGTTCAATTCCCAGCGACCACATCGTAGCTCACAACCATCTATAATGTGAACTGATTCCTTCTTCTGACAGATGTAAATGCAGATAGAACACTCATATACATAAAATAAATAAATCTTTTTTAAAAAAAAAAAAAGCATGTGATACCAACACCAGGCTTCATGAAACATTAAAAAAAAAAAAAAAAAAAGAAAAAGAACACTTGCTGCTCTTCCAGAGGTCCCGAGTTCAATTCCCAACAATCACACGGTGGCTCATGACCATCTCTAAAAGGATCTGATGCCTGCTTCTGGCATGTAGGTATAAATGCAGAACAGAGCACTCCTACAATAAAAAAAAGTACATAAGTAAATAAATTTTTTTGAAAAGCAAAAGGAAAGTCAGCTTTTATGTTTGTAATCCCAGGAGGTGGAGGGAGAAGGACCAAGAATTCAAGGGTATCCTCCAATAAAGAATTTAAAGCTAGCCTTTGCTATAGGAGACTGTCTTTAAAATAAAAAGTTGGGACTGGAGTGTTGGCTCAGTGGTTAAGAACATTAGGTGCTCTTTCAGAGGACCCAGGTCTGATTGTTAGCACCCATATGTCTGCTTACCACCATCCATAATTTTCAGTCTCAGGATCTGGTACCCTCTTCTGACGTCTGCAGTCACCAGGCATACATGTCATGCATAGAAATAGATGTTGGCAAAACGCCCATACACATACAAACTTTAAAAAAAAGAAAGAAAGAATGGTTTTGAAAAGTAAATGTTAATGCCAGAAGTTGCCTCTAAGTAGTAGGATTTTCTGTTGTTTTGTTTTCCTTTATTGAGTTTGATCTCAGACAGGTTAATATGTTCTCCCAAACTTAGTAGGTAGCACAAACGAGCCTTGGACTGATTCTATAGCAGAGCTTGCTGGCCTTAAATCCTACGTTCCAAGTACAGGGATTTGAGGCCTTAATACTGTACCCAGCACTTGGTTTTGGTATTCTCAAGTTCATGCTTTTCTTGAATGTTTTGTGGGGTTGTCATGGTGGTGGTACTGTTTTTATTTTCTGTTGCTTGATTTTCAGGTTTTGTTTTGTTTTGTTTTTCGACACAGGGTTTCACTATGTAGCATCATTGGCTGTCCTGGACTCACTTTGTAGACCAGCTGACCTTGAACTCATAGATATCCACCTGCCTCTGCCTCCCTGAACACTGTTTTGTTTATTTATTTTATGTGTGTGGGTGGTTTGCCTGCATGTATGTCCATTGTACCACTTTCATGCAGTATCTGAGGAAGCTGGGAAAAGTTGTGTGATCCCCTAGAACTGAAGTTACAGATATTGTAAACTGCCGTGTGGGTGATTTTAATGGAACCTAGGTCCTCTGGAAGGGCAGCCAGTGCTCGTTTTCACTGAGCCATCACTCCAGCCCCATCTTCTTCCTTCCACTCTGGATCCTGGGAATCAAACTCAGGTCATCAGGCATGGTGGCAAAGACCTTTCCTCACTGAGCCATCTCATCAGCTCAGTTTCTTGTCTTTTTGAGGCTGGGTCTCATGTAGTCCAGGCTGACTTCCAAACCTCTATACAGATAGTCAGTACTGACTTTGAAGTCCTGATCCCCCTGACCTCTAACTCCCAAGTGGTGGGATTTTAGGTCTCTTCTATTACACTTTGGCCTTTAGTTAGATTATTTTTAAAAGCTTTTACATATCTAAAGGTGGCCAATAATAAAAAAAAATACATGTTTATATGCTTTTTTAAAGATTTATTTATTATACAATATCCTGTCTGCATGTACACCTACACACCAGAAAAGGGCACCAGATTTCATCTTAGATGGTTGTGAGCCACCATGTGGTTTCTGGGAATTGAACTCAGGACCTCTGGAAGAGCAACCAGTGCTCTTAATAGCTCTCCAGTCCCTGTTTATATGCCTTTTGACTACGTGATTTCAACCAAGTGAACTGTCAACTCCTACGAGCCTCTGTCCAGGTGAGAGTTAGAAAAAAATATGAAAAGATAGATTGTTCTATCTCTTTAAGTGGGCAAGTCAGTGACAGCTCAGTGGAGTTTATGACTGAAGGCTCTGTTAAAATTCACTGTATCAAATCCATGATATATTGTGACTTGTTAATTACATTTTGTGACCCCCCCTTGCCGGTTTTTGCCTCCATTTCTTATCACAGGACAAGAGAAATTTCCTTCGTGACCCACCAGCTGGAGTTCAGTTTAACTTTGACTTCGATCAGATGTACCCTGTTGCCTTGGTCATGCTCCAAGAAGATGAACTCCTGAACAAGATGAGATTTGCCCTTGTTCCTAAACTGTAAGCATGCTTTCCAGTCAAAGAGACCCTGCTCACTCCTGCAGTGGTCATTTCTGTTCCACTGTAGTGATTTCACTTTAACTAAGGGCTCTAGTTATATACACAGCATTAGAGAAGAGTCACTGAATGGAGACCAGAACACCCTCGACACTATCTGTTCATCCAAACAGGCCCTGCAACCGTCCAGGTCCTGTGAGCTTGGCTGCATGACCAGAATGGAAAGGGAGGGCAGACTTGGCAGGAAAGTCAGGATAGGATGTTCTCTTTTGCCCAGTTATATAAAAGGTAGAACATGTCTCCTTCAGAAACTACAAATACAGCCAAATGAAATCAGGTCTGTAAAGGTCCCTCACCTTTTGCCCGAACTCCAGTGTTTTGTATTCATGTTCTACACAGCTGTGTTCTGTTCTCTTTCTTGTGGTTTTTATTCCACCAAAGAAAGGCCCTTCCCTATTCTAAAATCCCAGTTGCCCTTTATGTTCCAGAGCAAGCAGTATTCTGTGATACCTACCAGCAGAGGGCGACCTTCCCCTCTGCAGCATTCCTGCGGCTTTGTCTCCCTCTGACTCTCTTGTAGAGTTTTTGTTGTTTTCTTTGCAGCACTGGAAATTGAATTTAGGACCTGGCTCACACCAGGCAATTGTTTTAACACTGGAATACATCCCCAGACCTCTTTTTGACTTTTAATTTTAACACTGGGCCTTACTAGGTTGCCTAGCTGAGCCTTGAAGTCATTTTGTATCCTCAGCAGGACTTGAACTTTCAGTCCTCCTGCTTCAGGCTCCCAATTTACTGGGTTTACAGGCCTGAGCAACCAGTTCTAGTTTTTATTATAATGATGATGGTCATTGCTGTTATTTTGTTCATATTTTTCAAGTCAGCTTTCCAAGCAGGGCTTGGCTCAGGACTATAATCCTAGCACTTGGGAGGCATAGGCAGAGGCAGCCTGGGTCACAAGTGGGAGGCCCTGTTTCTAAACAAAACTCAGGGCATGGTGACTCACATTTATCATGCCAGTACTTAGGAAGTTGAGGCAGGAGAATCAGAGTTTGAGGATAGCCTGGGCTATAAAGTAAGACCCTATCAAAAAAAAAAAGTCAAAACAAATAAAGCTAGCATTCTTTCTCAGTTTGTGAGACTACCCTTTTTAGAATATTCTTATTCTTGTTTCATGGTTGCAAGATCTTGCTGTTCCTCCGAGGGTAAAATGTATAGTTCTCTCAAAATATCATTCTGTGAACTTTTCTCAGAAACTGTGTAGAGCTCTGCCTTCTACATTGTGGCCTCCCCTCCCTTGTCTTTTGCAGTAATAGCACTGTATCAAGGGTACTTGGCCACCTTACGTTCAGATGAACTTTATGGCTGGAGAGAACTTAAACTAGCCGTAACTAGGTAGCTTCCCTACTAGAGGACTCTTCAACCTCTTGGCCAGCTGCAGCCAAGACAACCAAGGATGGCCTGACACCAATTCATGGACAGGTTGTGCCTGCAGCTTCAGTATGGCATCACAGCCCCAGTCTCAACTGCACCAGGAGATCCTAAGTACCACATAGGAAACTGCTTAGGCTCTCTATATAGGAAGGGACAGGGCAAGGCGTAGAGCCATCTCCCTACTCTTCACAGGCATGTGTGGCCTGTGTTCCAGAGCTGTCTGAACTCGTGCCTAGTTAGCTTGCCTGCCATTTGCTGACCACCCATCCCATTAGTAACACAATTCCACACAATACATTTTTGTTTGCCTGTTGACTTTTCAGCTTCCAATGTTCTGCCCTCTCCTATTTCCTGTGTCTGTAAGATTTATTTGTGCAATTCTTCTGTGATTTCTGGGTTGTATTCAGAGGGAGTATACCTAAGTTCATGGTCATTATGCAATGTTTAGCTGACCACAATGCTTTGACAAATATTTCCTAGTCCTTGGGACCCCATGGAACCTCAGGTCTATTGTCTATATGAGAATACTACTTGGGAAAAGTTATTCTAGCCTCAGGAAGCCAGTTACATTAGAACCTTTTCTTTGTATTTTCCTCTATAGTGAAACACTTTTATCCATAACTATCAACATACTGGTAGTAAATTCCTTTTTACTGTTGTTTGGTGTGTTTTTGTTTTTGTTTTTAAGAAAGGCTTTCATGTAACCCAGATTGGCTTCAGACACCATACATAGTTGAAAATGACCATGAGTGTCTCTGATCCTCCTCCCTAACTTCCCAAGAGCTTGGTTTACAGGCACATAACCACTAGAGACAGAGACCAAGTTGCTCTGGCTGGCCTGAAACTCACTATTATTGATCAGGCTAGCTAGCCCCGAGTCTTTCAGGAGTCCTTGTGCTTCTGCCTCCTATGTGCTAGGTGCTGGGACTGGAGGCATGAGTCATCACAACCAGTCTTTCTTTTGAGATCTGTTTTCCTATATACCAGGCTGGCTTCAAACTTACCCTGGAACCAGTATTATATAGCTAAAATCACATTATACAAATTTCATCTTTACACTGTGTGGCTAAAAGGTCTATTTTTAGTTAATGATATAAAGAAATACGCCATCTATTCCACTACTGCATATGCTCACAAAGCCCTAGGAATTGACTTTTTTTTTTATTTTATTTTTACTGTTTTAAAGGATTCAGGGATGAGTGAGACAAGTACTCTGCCCTTACAGATGGTCATAATTTTTAATTGGTCATGGTGGTGCCCCTATCATCCCAGTACTCAGGAGGCTGGGGATAGAGAGTTGGAGGCCAGCCTGGGAATATGTATATATGTATATATATTATGATATTGAGACCTTATATTAAAAAGTCTAGCTGAGGGACTGGAGAGATGACTCAGTGGTTAAGAGCACTGGCTGCTTTTCCAGGGGACCCAATTTTGATTCCCAGTACCCACATGGTGACTTTAACTCTGGGGAATCTGATGCCCTCTTCTGGCCTCTTTGTGTTCATAGGCATACAAATGCTGCAAAAACATACATGTAGGCAAAATACTCATACACATAACATAATTTTTAAAAATCTAGCTTGAGCTTATAAGATGGTTCAGTGGGTAAAGGCAATTGCTGCCAAGATTGAAGACTTAAGTCCTTGGTGTTACATGGTAGAAGGAAACTATGAGAGTTGGGAGACTAACTGGGCATGTTTACCTTCTAAGTCCCAGGGTCTTAAGCTGTAACATTAGAGCCAGGCAAAAATGAAGTTGCAGCTGAATGTTTAAGATGCTAAGAAAGAAGACTGCTACCAGTTTGAGGCCAATCTAGGCTTTATAGTAAGTTCCAGATAAAGCTTGTGTTACAGGCTAAATGAAACTCTGTCTTGAATGGAAAACATTGAAGTTGTGAGGAAGTGGGCTGCCTATGTATCTTCAAGGCCACTTTTAATTCTGAGCTCTGTGAAATCATCTCACATGAACTAACCTTGGGTGTACTAATGTCTCTGTGATGACTCACAGGTTCTGTTTGCTCTTTTTATGAACAAAACAACCATTTGGACTGCTTTCTTTGCCAGACTCCCTCCCTCTTGATGTAAGAGAAGCAGGCAATTGCAGAAAACTTCTGCATCAGCCTCTGGGAAAGACTCACTCCAGATGACATTTTAAAGGTTCAAAAAGATCCTATGATAAAGAGCCTACTGGGCACAGCTATTGCTCCCAAACACGACTCTTATTTCTGCTTTTGTGGTGGATCTGAGGCATTAGGAGCCTGTGATAAACACTGGACAAATGTCAGCCTGAGCCTGGAAAAGACTGTTGGTTTCTCTCCTGCTATCAGAGGACCTCTGTGTTTGTCTGTGATACAGCAGCAGGGCATTTGCTAGGTTCAGGCTACCATACGGAAGTGCTCACATACTAATGTACATTTTGAAATATGGGACCAGTGCTTCATTTTCTAAATGAAGTGACTGCCTCTGTTCAGAAAGAGTATCCCAGATGATCAGTGTGACACTCAGAGAAGAAAAGTCTATAGAAGCTCTGTATTTGTTCATAATGGTTTGGTTTGGTTTGGTTTTTATGTTAAGGGGAGGGATGTCCTTTGCTTTTATATTTCTCTTTCTTGTTGTTTCTTTGAAGTTTTGTATCTTTGAAGTTTTGTAGTTGTAGTTGTTTGGGGTTTGTGTGGATGGTTGGCAGTAAGGGCTCACATATTTGACACTGGTCTGGAATGCTATATATAATGTAAGGTGACCTTGAAATTCTGATTCTCCTTCTCCTGCCCTGAAGTTCTGGGATTATAGACTTTGGCCACCATACCCTGTTTATATGATGCTGGGGTTAGAATCCAAGCTTTGTACATGCCAGGCTAAACAAGCACTCTACCAGCTGAGCTCCATCCCCAGATATGCACCCTTTCTGGTTTGGTTTATGTTTGTCTTCCAAACTAGAGATTATAATTTGAGAGAACAGTCATCAATTTTTAAATCATTATTTTGAAACAATGAAAAGTTTGAAAGATTTGAATTGTAATACAGACCCTTTAGTTGTGGGGTTTTTGGTTGTTTTTTTGTTTTTGTTTTGTTTTTTTGGTTTTTTGAGACAGGGTTTCTCTGTGTAGTCTTGGCTGTCCAGACTCTCTTTTGTAGACCAGGCTGGCCTTGAACTCACAGAGATCCACCTGCCTCTTGACTCCCAGAGAGTGTGCGCCACTATGCCCAGCTGAGGCCCTGTTTTAAAGTTTTATTTGTTCTAATGTTTTAATGTTCTTTTTAGCAAAAGAATGCAATTAACTTCACAAAGATTCCAGTAAATGTCACAGATTACATTTAGTTCTTGTGTCTCATCAGTCTCTTTCCATCCTTTGCACCTTGTATGAGGCACACTGCCATTTGTTCTGGCACAGTTCACACTTAGTTCACTGGAAGGTGGTATCTGGCAGGCACTTAACTATAAAATTACAGATTTCCTCTTTGAAAGTAATTAGTGTCAGGCATGATGGCAAGGCCTATAATCCCAACACTCAAGAAGGAGAGACAGAATAGCAAATTCAAGGTTAGCTTGGGCTACATTTCAAGACCATGTTTCAAATAATATAATGATAATAATTAGAGCTGAGCATACGTATGCACATCGAATCTCAGCACTGGGGAAGAACATTACTGTGGGCTACATAGTGAGGTCAAAGCCAGCCTTTGGATACACATCAAAACCTTGTTTTAATAAACAAACAAAGGGCTAGAAATATGACTCAGAGGTTAAGAGCACTTGGTGCTCTTGCAAAGAACCCAGATTTGGTTTCTAGTCAATGCATGTGTGGCTTACAACTGCATGCAGCTCCAGCTCCAAGGGATTATGTGTGGATGTGTGGGTAAGTATACCCACTTACTTACGCATGTGTTTGTATGTGTGTGCACATGTGTGCATGTGTGTTTTGAAATAAGGTCTCATGCCGCTATCCTGCCTAGACCTGGCTGTGTAGTTGAGGATGACCTTTTACTTCTGATCCTCCTGCCTGCCTCTATCTCTTGAATGGTGTGATTACAGCCATGCCCCACCATGCGTAGGGGATCAAACCCAGGACTTTGTGCATATTAGGCAAATGCTCTACCAATTAAGCTATGTATCAGCATTAAAGACTTAATAAAAATATATTATTTGAGAAGTCAGAGGACAACTTGTGGAAGTCAGTTCTCTCCTTCCAACATATGGAGAGCAGGGATCAAACTCAGGTCATTAGGCTCATCAGTAAGTGTGTTTACTCACGGAACCATCTTACTGGCCCCTTATGAACTTTGAAATTTCATTCTCCTCATCAATTTTTTCATATATTTGCATTTATATCCATTTAGTCTCATGCATTTGATACAGTGGGTTCTAATCTGTTATTTTGATGCTATTTTGATGTCATCCCATTGACAGGTAGGGGCTCAGTGAAACTCACATCTGTAGCCTTTGAAGGTAGCTCTGTTTGAAACAGGATTACAATATGTAGCCCTGGCTGTCCTGAAACTCAGTATGTAGATGAGGCTAGCCTCACATTCAGAGATCCACCTTCCTCTGCTTCCTGAATGCTGGGATTAAAGGTATGTGCCACCACACCAAGCTCCAAGCTCATTTTAATTTTATCTTCCTCTAACCCTGGCACCCAGCATTTATTCAGAAAGTGCTGAAACCTCTTAGTGGAAAATAAATTTTATATTATTCCTTATTAGGATCGATTAAACATAATAATGGGTTTTAGAAAATGACATGGAGAAAGCAAGAACTGAACACCACTGGGGTGTCACTTCTCGCCAGCAGATGATGCAGCTAAGGGGTGTGCACATGCTCAGCTGTGTCTCTGGAATGAAAACTATCCAAAGGGATACCTAGGAAGGTATCCTAGGTGATCACTCTCATTTTCTAATGTTTGGAACTCCCTGCTCTGCCAGTGAGGTTCTGTGACCTTTAATATTTTTACTTTTTTTTTTTTCAATTTGCTGCATGTAATTAAGCTCTGACTAAGTTTCTGACCCCTCTCTCACTCAGACACCATTCTCTTTCCACTTGGTTCTTATTATCCTTCTGGGCCATCTGTTTTGTGTACTCACCAAACACCACTTGAGCACCAACGCCTCATGCCAAACAAATCCAATATGCAACCAAGTTTGAGGATCACTATGAGTTCTCAGGTTAAATAGAAAGGACTTCATTCTTTATCAGCCATCTCACAGATGGTTGTAGGTATAATTTGTAGTAGAGTGCTTGCCTAGTTTGCACAAGGCTCTGGATTCTATAACCAATTCTGCCTCACACGCAAAGCCTTTATAACCATCTCTGATTCTGTTTCTGCTAGTTGCTAGCTATTTTAATAAGCTGCCTGCTGATATATTTCCTGAAGAATAACGTCAAGCCAGGTGTGGTAACGAATGCCTGTAATCCCAACACTTGGGTGAGGCAGGAGGATCAGCTGGTCAAGGCCTACCTTAGCTGCATAGTGATTTTGAGGCCAGTCTGTGATAAATGGGACTCAGTCTTTAAAAACAAACAAGGGCTGGGGTGACGGCTCATCAGTTAAAGCACTTGCCTACAAGCATGAGGACTAAATGCTCAGAACCCGTGTAGATACCAGGTAGGTGTGAGCCAGCCTTAGAAAGAGGATACAGGAGATCCTGGAGCCAGCTGAGCAGCTGGACTAACCCTATCTAAACTGGCTATATCAGTGAGCTCAGGGTTTGATTGAGAGATCCTATGGCAATACATAATGAAGTGGAAGAGCAGTTGAGGATGGATCCTAATATTCAGCATTGAGCCTCCACATGCACATGTATACATATGCTCACACACATTCAAACATGTATACATACACACAAACACATGAAAAGCAGAAAACAAAAAGAAACATTATTGCTAGACATAGTGGCGTACTCATTCAATCCCAGCACTGGGAGGCAGAAGCAGGCGGATCTCAGGTTCAAGACCATCCTGGTCTACAAAGTGAGTCCTGGACAGCCTTTCTGGAAAAAACAAAACAAAAAAAGGACAATATCCACAATTTTTTCCCACTGCCTAAAAGCATTTACTCCTTCAGAAAACAGTAAAAGACCCACAGTGTGCTGGCTCTGAGTCTCCCTGGTTAGTCACACTGCCACACATGAATGCTTTGTTTCTTTCTGCCAAGAACCAAATATGTATAATAAAATACTAATAAATATGAGGCCACCAAGATAGATTAGCAGGTAAAGGCACTTGCTGCCAAGCCTTATCACATGAGTTCAAGCCACACATGGCAAGAGAGCCAACTCCTGAAAGTTGTCCTATGGACTTTGCATGCATGCTCATACACACACACAATAAGTGTAATTTTTTTTAAAAGGGACTGGATAAATGGCTTAGCAGTCAAGAACACTGGCTGCTCTTCCAGAGGACCCAGGTTCAATTCCCAACATCCACATGGTGGCTCTCAGCAGTCTGTAACTCCACTTCCATGGAATCTGATACCATCTTTTGGCCTTCCATAGCTCATCTTTTGCTGTTGTAGAGAATATAGTTTGGTTTATCCTGTCATTTAACTTTTACTTAGAAAACAAATGATCATTTTCTTTAGCCCTCACAAGGAATGGAAAACACTCAGGAGCTGGAGCTTTAGCTTGGTAGTTGAATACTAGCTTGCCTGGCATGCATGAAACCCTAAGTACCACCCCCAAAGCCAAATAAATAGATGATCTGTTCTAGGCTCTGCTGTACTAATATGTGGACCTGTGACCCTCGCATTCTCATATGTGTCATTTTCTATCAAAGTGTGAAAGAAGAAACATTCTGGAGAAACTACTTCTACCGAATCTCCCTGATTAAACAGTCAGCCCAACTCACCGCACTGGCTGCCCAGCAGCAGGCATCTGGAAATGACGAGAAAAGCAGCAGCAGAGATGATGATTTGCCTCTGGCAGGTATGTTCTGGGGAGAAGAGATCATTCTGGAAGAAAAGAATTGATGTAAAAATATTCCTGACTTTAGAGGTGCTAATGAGCTTGTCATCTTGTATGCATCAAAAATATTGACATCTCTGTACAGAAAAATTATTTTCTTTGCAAAGGAATTTTTCTGTTGCACTTTCAGACCCAGTTTATATGGGTCTTCCCCAGGTGTTCTTTTCTTTGCTATCTCATTCTTGCTGTTTTTTTTTTTTCTTTTTATTACTCTTAAAAGGGGTTCTACAACCACAGGTCCAAGGAAATCAGGACGAATAGAAATCTGAGAAACACCTGGCCATGGTTGTGCATGCCTGTAACCCTAACACGTGAGATGTGAAGAGTCCAGTAGCACTTATTCCAGTCCAATTTCAAGTATCCATCCCTGAGCTAAGCTACTAAACACATGGCACTTTCCTCCAGTGACATGACCCTGCTGCTAAGGAACAAGTTTTATAATATCAGCAGCTATTTGATGAACTATGATAGTAATTAATACAGTATCCTAGACTATCATATAGATGACTCTGCAGTTCAGTCGCACTTCTTGCTCTTCCAGAGAACCCAGGTTCAATTCCCAGTAATCACATAGATGGCTGACAGTCCCATGGACTTCCAGTTGCAGGGGATCTGACAACCTCTTCTGACCTCCGTGGGTTCTCAGACATATAAATAAAAATAAAGCTGGATGTGCTGGCACACACCTTTAATCCCAGCACCCTGGAGGCAGAGGTAATCAGATCTGTGTGAATCACAGGCCATCTTGGTCTACATAGAGAATTAAAGGCCAGCTTGGGATATATAGTAAGATCCTGTCTCAAAAAACTAAACAAACAATAAATAAAATACATATTTTATAATATTTTATTTATTTCGTAGCACTGAGAATGGATCCCAGGGCTTTACAAATGCTAGACGGTGCTAGCTCAGTGATAGAGCACTTACCTAGCATATGTGCAGATATGTTTCATTCCCAGCACTACCAAAAAAGAAAAGAAGAAAGCCATTTTTTCCAAAGAAAAGTATTCAGTAAAGACTGTTAGCATGGTTAGTACAATAAAAAGTAGTTATGAGTGAGTGTTGCTCTCAAAGAGGACTCAAGTTCAGTCCCCCAAATCCACATTAGGCAGCTCACAATTGCCTGTAACTCCAACACTAAATTAACCAGAAGAATGCTGAGAATGGGGCATTGTGTTTCCCTTTGTGCTTTCTAACCACGTTGATAACAGGGAAGCTTGATAAACAGCTTCATTCTTAGTATTCTAAAAGAAAGAACAGAACCAGTTTTGAAGTCCAAAGATGATTTCCTAATAGAACTTCCATATAAGGGACAGTGAATGTGGTTACAGTTTTAAAAAGACAATCCTGCCAGGCATGGTGGTGTACATATTCAATCCCAGCACTTGGGAGGCAGAGGCACGTGGATCTCTGAGTTCCAGGGTAGTCGGGGCTACATAATATCTGTGCATATTTTAGCTGTTCTTATGATAAGTATTTAGAAGTAAATCAAGCAATTATTGTTTCTTTATTCTCATTTTATAGAAGCAGTGCGACCCAAAACACCACCTGTTGTAATCAAATCTCAGCTTAAAGACCAAGAGGTAAGATTTCCTGCACTCTGCCCAAACTTTGGCTGAGTCGCAGCATCTGCTTTGATACCCTGCTGGGTAGAGTCTTTCAGAGGTCCTCTGTGGTAGGCTCCTGTCCTGTTCCCTGTCTTCTCCCTCTTCCAATGTCCATCCTGTTTGCCTTTCTGAGTGAGGATTGAGCATCTTACCCAGGGCAACTCCTTCTTGCTTAGCTTCTTTAGGTGTACAGATTTTAGTATGATTATCCAATATTATATGTCTAATATCCACTTATAAGTGAGTGTATACCATGTGTGTCTTTCTGCTTCTGGGATACCTCACTCAGGATGATCTTTTCTAGTTCCCACCATTTGCCTGCAAATTTCATGATTTCCTTGTTTTTAATTGCAAGGACCATTCATAGAAATAACCTAGAACCCCTGCATAGATGTAGCCCATGGCATCTCAGTGTCCAAGTGGATTCCCTAGTAAGGGGAACAGGGGCTGTCTCTGACATGAACTTAGTGGCTGGTTCATTGATCAACTCCCCCTGAGGAGAGTTAGCCTTACCAGGCCACAGAGGAAGACAACGCAGACAGTCCTGATGAGACCTTATAGGCTAGGGTCAGAGGGAAGGAGCAGAGGACCTCCTCTATCAGTGGACTGTGGGAGGGGCAGGGGACGAGAAGAGGGAGGGAGGGGTCTCTCAGATGGGATACAAGTGAATAAATTGTAATAAATAAAAAAATTAAAATTTTAAAAAATTAAGAGGTAATACAGTTTTACATTATACATTACATTTACATTATATGTGTGAAAATGAAGTCACTGGGTTAACTATCTCTGATACCATTTAAAACAGCATAAGGGTGTTGGTCATATGTCTGCAAGATGAGGAGTCCAGTAGTTGAATAATAGCTGAGAGCTTAGGTGAATTCCTGGCATAAATACTCCTAGATGTGCTCATCAGGAATCAGAGAGAATGATTTGAAAGATCTAAACAGTGAGGGAGAATAATAGCCTCAGGTGGTAACTCATTCTGTTACCAAGCAACTGCCAGTTAGAAGGTTGGAGAGCATTGTCTTACTGCTAACAGAGAAGAATAAAAAAATGAGACTGAGTTAAATTATGAGACAACTATTAACCAACATACTAGTGCCTAGGTGTCACTTAGAAGCCATTTCAAGAGCATTTTGGTTGCATTTCAGGATGAGGAAGAAATCTCTACCAGCCCAGGAGTTTCTGAGTTTGTAAGCGATGCCTTTGATGCCTGCAACTTAAGCCAGGAGGATTTAAAAAAGGAAATGGAGCAACTTGTACTTGATAAGAACCAAGAGGAAACAACTGCACTAGAAGGTAATACACATGCACACATGCTAGCTTTGTCCTTTATTCCTAATTCCAAAGTTGGTTGAATACAAATTTCATTTTAAAGCCAGTGGACAGAGGCTGGGAATGTAGCTCAGTTGGTAGAGTGCTTATCTAGCCTGCATGATGCCCTGAGTTCATTCCCCAGAACCACATAACCATACATGGCGGCATACACTTGTAATCCCAGAATTCAGGAGGTAGAGACAGAAAGAGCAGATGTTTAAGGCCAGTCTTAGCCACATGAAATCCTGTCTCAGAAAAATAATAAAGCCAGTCAACAAATTAGTCATGGTAGTGTATACTCCTCTAATCCCAGCACTTAGGAAGGGTAAGGCAGAAAAGTTGACATGAATTTGAAGCCATTTTGAGTTACATAGTGAGTTCCAGGCCAGCGAGAGCAGTATAGTAATATCCAGTTTCAAAAACAATCCCACTAAAAGCAATCAAACTAAAAATGAATTCTAGCTGTATTTTTTTACACAGTAATGGGGATTGAACCCAGGGCTTTGCAGGTTTGCTACACCTCACTCACATCCCTAGCTTTTTTGTTGTTTGAAACAGGTTCTCGTGTAGTCTAGGGTGGTTTCAATCCCACTGTATAGTCTGCTGGCCTTGACCTCCTGCCTCTCTACCTGGGATTTTATGTATCCCACCATGCTGCCTAACCTTCCCTTTTTAAAATGCCATGTTTTGTTTTTTCACTCTCCTTTTTCTAACACTCTACAGTATCTGTCATATCTTCTACATACTGGGGTCAGTATCAGGCATGTGCTAAAACTGGGCATGGTGGTCACAACTGTAATCCCAACACTCAAGTGGTAGAAGCAGGAGGATCAGAAGTTCAGGGTCATCCTCAGCCAATAGGGAGTTGGAGGCCAGCCTGGCATACCTAGAGAGATGGCTCAGCAGGTAACCAAGCTCACTGTCAAGCCTGATGAACTGGGTTGGATTCTTAGGAACAAAACAAATAAACAAAAAACAGCTAGGCCTTTTGTCAAGTATTACAGTCGAATGAATTGTTACTATAAGTATTATGAGTTCAAAAAACAACTTTCTTTGCCTCTCTCTTTGTTACCTATAGAAGATTCTGCTGATTGGGAGAAGGAGCTACAACAGGAACTTCAGGAATATGAAGTGGTAGCAGAGTCCGAGAAGCGAGACGAAAACTGGGATAAAGAAATTGAAAAGATACTTCAGGAGGAGAATTAGCCGTCTCCCAAACCATTTCTTAACATCGCATTAAAATCCGATGCTCGCTGACTCATGAAGGCACTGTGTAGCTTTATGAAATTTGAAATTAGCTAAAACTTGCCTCTTAAAAAGAAAGTATGTAGAGCAGCTATTGTAGTAATCAAAAAGTAACGGGATATTGTATGTCATTTTCATATAAATGCAAGTCACCAATGTTCTTATAGGCAGCAGAGCTATGTATGCCACAAAAACACAGGTAAAATACTGGTTTGTTTCCCACAAGGTTGGCAACGTAATTTATTCTTTAGTCAAGGTTTTCTATATATTCCTTTCCTTTTTGTTGATACATGGGTTAAAGTACTTAATGGCTTAATTACTATCAGAATGACCAAATTATACCAAAGAGCTCAAAAGAAAGCACTTTCAAAACTATCTTCTCAGATATTTTCTAAAATTCTGTCTGAAAGCCAAAAGCTGAGATAACTAGGTTCATTTGAATGATATAAACATCACCAAATTTGATGTTAAAAAACACTGTGCAAGTCTTGAGATGTGGTGGGCCCTTGCCTGTCATTCACAACGCCCTCCATTATATCAACCAAAAAAAAAAAAAATACAAAATAGATTTCTTTAAAGTTTTACTTTTCCCTAGAGCCTTTTCATTCTGTTTTGTTAAGTCTACCACAAATTCAACATCGTGTTTTTTTGTAGGAACATGGGCCTTCAGTCCCTTTTGTATTAATAGCTATTAAGAAGCCTTGTTCTCAAGGTAATGGTCACTATGTATAAATGTCTTAATTAAATTCTATTAATTAAATTAATAGAATGATCTTCCTTGGAGTACAACTTCTAGAACTTTCTAGTTCATTCTTTATGTATTCTGCTATGCCAGCAGGCATCCGTTTATAGAATAAGATCATTTTAAAAGACCAAGGTGTTTTAATGTTAGAAAACTTTCATATTTTCACAGCGCCTTTATTTCATAAGGGGAATAAAACAAGATGTTTCTTTATAAGAAAATTGTACATAATGATATTCTTGTACCAATAAAAACTAGTCTATGGTCCTCTGGCATAGGTGGTCAGTGACAGATCTGGGAATGGGTTCAAACATTACTTTCATGTTCATCATTTAAGATATGCACTGGTAAAATGAACCAGACTGCTTCACTTCATGTCACTTCATTTTAGCAATAAACTTGTATCTTCCATGAGGCCAGTGACCCAATAGGAAAGAATTTCCACTTAAAATGTCAGAAACTGCCCTACTAATGTAAAAAGTGCTCATTTGTGTGTGGTTTGGAGACAGGGTCTCCTGTAGTTCTAGCTGGCCCGGAATTCACTGTGTAGATCAGGCTGGGCCTCAAACTTAAAGTGATCCTTCCTGCCTCTGCTTCTGCCTCTAAGTGATATTTTGTTAATTTGATAGAAAAAAAAAAGGAGCAGGAGAGATGGCTCAGCTGTTAAGAGCAATGTCCGCTCTTCCAGAGGTCCTGAGTTCAATTCCCAGCAACCACATGGTGGCTCAACAACCTCTTTACTGGAATCTGATGTCCTCTTCTGGCGTGCAGGTGTATGTGCAGATAGAACACTCAATACATAAATAAATAAAAATGTTAAAATGATTTTAAGAGCTAAAAATCCTAGATGTAAACAGGTATAATAATGCCTGGTTTTTAATACATATATACACACACTTGAGACAGGGTCTTATTATGTAGCTCTCTAGCTATCCTTGAATTCACTATGGAGATCACGCTGGCCTTGGACCCACAGAAATCTACTTGCTTTTGCCTCACAAGTGACAGGAGGAAATGAATAGCACTATACCTAGCTTGCACTAAAATTTATACCGATGAATAAACACACAAAAAAGCAAAGGTTTCAGAGAGAAGGAAAAAAAAAAAACCTAGGCATGGTGGTACATGGCTGTGCTTCAGTACTTGAAAGGCAGAAGCAGAAAAATCAGGTTTGGGATAACCATAACTTCATAGTAAATTCAAGGCCAGCCTGGGCTACATGAAACCCTAACTCAAGAAATTCAAAACAGAAACAAATAGAAATTCCCTTATGAAGTGGGAAATCTTAGTTAACTTTTAAGAAGTTGAACTTAAGCAGGTGAATTGGGTCATTGGATAAAGGCACTTGCATGTAAGCCTGAGTCCATCACCAGAACCCATGGTGGAAAGAACAAACCAACTCACAAAAGTTGTTCCTCTGACCGCTACATTCTCTCCATGGTGTACATGCCCCTACTCATACAGGCAGGCACACACACACACACACACACACACACACACACAATTTGTCTGTATATATGCATATGAGTACAGGTACTCACAGACACTGGAAAAGGACATCAGATTGCCTGGAGCTAGAGTTACAAATACTGGTAAGATGTCTGATATAGGTGCTGAAAGCTCAACTTGAGTTCTCTGTAAAAATCAATATTTTATATATATATATTTACTGACCCAATAATAAAGTTAACCTAGGAAAGCCCACCTTAATAGTCAAAACAACCAGCTGGGTCGTGGTGGCTCACACCTTTAATCCTAGCACTCAGGGAGGCAGAGGCAGGTGGATCTCTATGAGTTCAAGGCCACCCTGGTCTACAAGAGAAACCCTGTCTCAAAAAATCAAAAAGATTTTAATATGTATATCCTATTTTATGTGTCTAATATCCACTTATAAGTGAGTGTATACCAGCAGGGTATTGAAACAGATGCTGAGACTCATAGCCAAACTTTGGGCAGAGTGCAGGGAATCTTATGAAAGAAAGGAGAGATAGAAAGGCCTGGAGGGGACAGGAGCTCTACATGGAGATCAATAGAACCAAAAAAATATGGACCCAGGGGTCTTTTCTGAGACTCATACGCCAACCAAGGACTATTCATGGAGATAACCTAGAAGCCCTGCATAGATGTAGCCCATGGCAGCTCAGTGACCAAGTGGGTTCCCTAGTAATGGGAACGGGGACTGTCTCTGACATGAATTCAGTGGCTGGCTCTTTGATCACCTTCCCCTGATAGCGGTCCAGCTTTGCCAGGCCACAGAGAAAGACAATTCAGACAGTCCTGAAGAGACCTTAATAGGCTAGGATCAGATAGAAGGGGAGGAGGACCTCCCCTATCAGTGGACTGTGGGAGGGCCATGGGAGGAGAAAAGGGAGGGAAGGGTGGGATTGGGAAGGTGAGAGGTGGGCCACAGCTGGGATACAGAGTGAATGAATTTTAATAAATAAAAAAAATTTAAATATGGGTACAAAGGGAAAGGATAGTATATTTGGGAGAAATTACAGTGGGGTGATAATATGATTACACAGAATAAAAATTTTAAATAAATAAAAATGAGGAAACTTTTTAAAAATTGTTTTAAAAAAAAAAGAGGCACAGCAACCATTAAATCTGCATGTACAGAGTTTAAAGAGGCACCGTAAGCAGATGATTTTCTGTGATAAAAATATTATTGTCCTGGAGGTATAACTCAGTGATAGATCTCTAGCCTAGCATGTGAGAGGCTCTGGAGGTTTTTTGTTTTTTGTTTTTTATTACTGTACGTATGTGAGTGCCATGCTACGAGTATGGATATCAGAGAATAACTTTCAGGACTTAGTTCTGTCCTTTTACCTTTATGTGGGTCCCAGGGATCAAACTGCACTTCTATCTTAGTGAGCCATCTCACATCTCACCAGAACCTGAGGATTTTTGTTTTTGTTGTTTTGTTTGTCTTTGTCTTCCCCCCACCCCCAGAGCTAAGGACTGAACCCAAGGCCTAGAAGTGCTCTACCACTGAGCTAAATCCCCAACCCCTGACAATTGTTTTTTTTTAATTATTTTTAATTTCATTAATTATAGTTCATTCACTTTGTAACCCTCCTGTAGCTCGCTCCCTCCTCCCCTCCCAATCTCACCCTTCCTTCCTCTTCCCCACCCATACCCCTTCCCTAGTCCACTGATAAGGGAGGTCCTCCTCCCCCTCCCTCCGACCCCAGTCTAACAGGTCTCATCAGGAGTGGCTGCCTTGTCTTCCTCTGTGGACTGGTAAGGCTGCCCGCCCCCCCTCAGAGGGAGGTGATCAAAGAGCAGGCCAGACAATTGTTTTTGAAGCTTTTTTTTTTTTTTCAGTTTTTTAAGATCTAACTGAGTCTGGACATGGTAGCACACACCTTTAATTCTAGTAGGAGGCAAAGGCAGGAAGATCTCTGAGTTTGAAGGAAGCCTGCTCTGCTTAGTGTATTCCAGGCCAACCTGGACTATGTAGTGAGTCTATCTCAAAACAAACAAATATGTGTTTATGTGGAGACTGGTGAGATGGCTCAGAGGGTAAAGGCACTTTTCTCCAAGGCCGAAGACCTGAATTCGATCCCTGGAACCAATGTAGTGAAATAAGAGAACTGACACCCAGAAGTGAACTCTAGACACATACTATGGCGCACACAAACTTGCACACAGAGGTATGGTGGCGGTACACACCCTTCATCCCAGCACTTGAGAAGCAGGTAGATCTCTCTGAGTTCACAGCCAGCTTGGTCTACAGAGTGAGTTCTGGGACAAAATTACCAAATAGAAATAAGCTAGTGAATTTATATGCAGGTGGTCATGCTTGGTGGCTGCACAATAAAAACAAACTGGGGAGTCAGGCACTATTAGCCTCCAGGGCCCTCTGAAGAAGTGCCAAAGAAGCTGACACTGTGTATATATAGTCATGGAGGTCTATGCTGTCAAAAATTCCACAAATCATTCTTGTGGGCAACCAGGATAGAACATGGTTTGAATCAAGAGGCCTGAGTGATAAGACAAGAGATGTCCTTAGACAAGATACCATGTCCCCAGTATCAATCAAATAAATGGGTTGAGTTACATGTTCCTAAGATACATTCAACACATACAAGCAAGTGCCTATTTTAAAAGGCCTCTGCAGGCTGAGGATATAAATCAATAGTAGGATACCTAGCATATACAAGCTGTTGGATTCAATCCCCAGAACCACTAAAATACTTCATACAATGGATGGCATTTTTCTTTTTTTTTTATTGTTTTAGAATATTTTCTCCTTCAATGATTTCATATATGTACATAATGTCTCTTCATATCCATTCCCAACCCTCCCCTCCTGTACCCTCTGGTTCCCCCCGTACATACTTGGTTCTGTTTTCAAAGTGACTTTGTTGGGGCGAAAGATGATTCAGTGGGTAAGAGCAATAAAAGGAGCCAAGAAGGGGTAGCTCACACTTTTAATCCCAGACTCAGGAGACAGAGTTCAAGACCAGTCTGGTCTACAAATTGAGTTCTAAGATATCTAGGGCTCTGTTACACAGAGAAATCTTGTCTTAAAAAACAAAACTAAAGGCAGGAGAAATGGCTAAGAGATTAAAAGCACTGGCTGCTCTTCCAGAGGTCCTGAGTTCAATTCCTAGCAACCATATGGCACTCACAAGCATGTATAATCTGGTGCTCTCTCCTGACATGCAGATAGAACAATGTATATATAATAAATCTTAAAAAAACAAAAAACAACAGAAGAGCAATGAAAGGACCCGAGTTTAGATTCCCCCCCCCAAGGGGGCAGGGCTGGACAGATGGCTCAGCCATTAAAGACTAGACTCAGAACCCAAGAAACAAAAAATGGGGGAGCACTGGAGAGAAGGCTCAGCAGTTCAGAACATTTGCTGCTCTTCCAGAGAACGTAAGTTTGGTTCCCAGCACCAAAGCTGGGTATCTCACAACTACCTGGAAGTCTAGTTCCAGGAAATCCAACACCACCTTCTAGCCTCTGTCACCCATGTAGGAATGACTAACGCAAACATACACATAGTTCCATTTTTTAAAGGAGAGGATGGTTTTGTACTACCATTATTAGGAAACCATACCCAAGGCCTTGTGCATGCCAGGCAAGCTCTCTACTCCTAAACATAACAAGTGTATGTATTTGTCTCCACTTAAACCCCCAGCATAAGGCAGTAAAGGGAGAAGAGAAGGTATAAGCCCAATGATACAAACAGAACCAGATGCAGCGGGCAAGATTTTCTGTGCTTCTGAAGCTTGGGAAGGTTCAGGAAGCTTGGAGGCACACTGCTTCTGATCGCACACTTTAACAGCTACATGAAGTTGGAGTAGACAACTTGCTGACTCTGATGCAATCTAAAGGGGGAAGCCAAGCTTGAGTACTGTGAAACACAGAAGCTAAGGGTTGAAATGGCTCCAAGGAACTGGGAATTCCAGGGAAGGCAGGTTACAGGATCTCTGTTTTAAATGCTTTGTGTAATTTCACTTCTAAAGATAACTACACGTATCATTTTGATTCTTTTAAAAGAAACACGTTTTTTTCCTTTAAGACAGGATTTAACTCTTTAGTCCAGGCTTGCCTGAAATGCAGTTTTATGTGAGTGTTTTGCCTACATGTATATCTGCACCACATGTGTGCCTGGAGTCCAAGAAAGTCAGAAGAGGGCACTGGGTTCTCAGGACCTGGAGTTACTGATGGTAATTAGCTCTGCCATGTGGGTGCTGGGAACCAAAACTCAGTCCTCTGTAAGAGCAGCAAGTACTGTTAACCAGTGAGCCATCTCTACTTTCGACAAGGGTAGGTGTGATGAGGAAAACACAGAAGTCTAGCTGAGGTAGAAAGTGCCCATAAATAACCTAGCACTTTAGTGTGATGGCTTGAATGAAAATGGCCCCAGGGGGAGTGGAACTATTAGGAGGTGTGGCCTTGTTGGAGGAGGTGTGTCACTGGGGTTGGGCTTGGAAGTCTCAGATGCTCAAGCCAGGCCTGCTGTCACTCTTCCTGCTGCCTGGAGATCTAGATGTAAAACTCTCAGCTGATTCTCCGGCACCATGCCTGCCTGCACGCTGCCATACTTCCCACCAAAATGATTAGGGACTAAATGAATGTAAGACAGCCCCAATTAAATGTTTTCCTTTACAAGAGCTGCTGTAGATTTGGTGTGTGGTAGCACAAGCCTTTAATCCCAGCACTCAGAAAGGCAGAGGCAGGTGGATTGCTGTTCTTTTGAGGTTAGCCTGGTCTACAAAGCAAGTCCAGGATAGCCAAGGCTACACAGAGAAACCCTGTCTCAAAACAACATTAAAAGTTGCCTTGGTCATGGTACCTCGTTACAGCAATAGAAACCCTAAGGTAGGAGGAAAACCAGTTACAAGGCAACCTGCCTTACACAATGAAACCCTGCTTAGGAAAAATTTAAAAAGGTTAGGAGAGACAGAGCTGGAGATGTAGTTTACTTGGTAGAGTGCTAGCTTAGCAAGTATGAAGTCTAGGTTTGATACCCAGTATCATACAAGCAGGGTGTGGTGGCACATGCCTATAAGCCCTGAACTTGGAAGGTTGAGACAGATTGGGCCACAGGAGAACCTGTTCAAATTTATTTTTCAAATTAAAGATCCCCCAACACTCAGAAGGCAGAAGCAGGCAGATCTCTGTGAGCTCTAGGCCAGCCTCCTGTACATAAAGAATTTGTGGACAGCCAGAGCCACATAGAGAGACCCTTTCTCAAGAAAAAGAGAAGGAAGGAAGGAAGGAAGGAAGGAAGGAAGGAAGGAAGGAAGGAAGGAAGGAAGGAGAGAAAGAAGAAAGAAGGAAGGAAGTAAAGAAATCAAGAAAGAGAGAAAGAAGAAAGAAAGAGGACCCAAAACTATCCATTGAACAAACATAAGGACCTGAACTTAATCCCCAGAACCCACATAAAAAAGCTGAGCATAAACTCAGTATGGTGGCACACACCTTTAATCCTAGCACTCAGGAGGTAGAGACAGGGAGGTCTCTATGAGTTTGAGATTAGTCTGGACTATTTCGTGAGTTCCGTACTAGCTAGGGCTACATAATAAGGCCCTGTCACAAAAACAAAAACAGACACCCCCACCACCACCAAAAAAGCTGGGCATGATAGCACACTATTTTAACATCACTGCTGTGGAAATGAAGACAGAAGGATCCTTAGGGTTCACTGGCCAGCAGCCTAGCCTAGCCTTGCCAGCTCCAAATACATGAGAGAACCTGTCTCAGATAACAAAGTGAATGAAAGTTGCCTGGGGAATGACACCTGAGGTTGAATTCTAGACTCAACATGAATGTGCACCTCCCCATTCCCTATGCACACACTCCACACACACACACACACACACACACACATACACACACACACACACCTATTGTAGTGGGGGAAGTAAAACTGTTAAATGTCTCCAAGTGCCGGGAAGTAACATAGATGGAAAAGTGAAACGTACAGAACATTTCACATAGCATTTCCACTATTAGAACAAGCATCACTTCAGTTATAAAATAAACTGGAAAGTAGCCATTAGTCCTATCCCAGAACAGTGATTTGAACAAGTAGTGACTCAGCCATACCATTGTATGCAAATATTGTAAGTAATGGATTCCACACCCACCACTGTCAAAAATACAGGTCTAAAAATAGCAAAAGTTACTAAGTGGGCCAATAAGATGGCTCAGAAGATAAAGGCACCTGCCACCAAGCCTGACAACCTGAGTTCAATTACCAGGACCCACATATGGTAGAAGGAAAGAACAGACTTCACAAATTGTCACTGTGCCCTCCACAAGCACACCACGTAATGAATGCTGATTTTTTTTTTTTTAAGTTACTCAGTATGTGAAATGAAAAGAACGTTTGATACTCTTCTGGTGATAATAGAGATTGGGGATTTCTCTTCTGGGAAAGTCAATACTGGAACTCTTTAAATGGAAAGTTGACTACCTCTCTTGGACCAACAGTTTCTCTCTCCGGGGGTGTAAAACACTGTAATCAACTAAGAAAATACTTAGCAAAGTTAAAGACAAATCTGTTTTGTGCTAGATATACTAGATGGTAGAGGTGACCTTGCTCACAATGGTGGTGTTGCAATTACCTCAGTCTCTACCCAAACCCAAAGTCCATCACCAGTAGAACAGAATCATCATTACACTGTGACTGTACAGTGGGATGCCAAAAGTATGGGCAAACAGCTGTGTACAGTGATGGCAACAGGCTCGAGTCCCACAAACATGCTGCTAGGCGGAGCCGGGCACGGTGGAGCTTGCCTGTAATCCTGGGACTCAGTAGGCTGAAGCAGGAGGATTGCCTCAAATTGGAGTACATCATTCCTGGCCAATTTGAACTGCAGAAAGACTGTCTAAACATACACAAGATATTGTTTGATTTTGCTTTAAGACAGAGTCTCCTATAGCCCAATCTGGCCTCAAAAAAACTCTATGTAGCCCAGGCTGTCTTTGAACTTGTGATCCTCCTGACTATGTCTCCCAAGTTCTGAGATTGCAAGTATCACTAAAGCCCTATTTAAAAAAAAAAAAAAAAAAAGTATGCCAGGAGTCATGGTGCATTTCTATAAGCACAAAGCTAGCCTGGTCTACATAGTGAGTCCCAAGATAGTCAGAGAGGTGAAACCATCTCTCAAACACACACACACACACACACACACACACACACACACACACACACACGTGCACACCCATGATAAGTAGGACTTGAAAAGCAGAATGACATCGCGCATACAGACTTCAAATGCATGCAAAACTAAGCCGTGTGGTCAGTAAAAAACGAAGTGGAACGGCTACTGTGAAAAAGCTTTCAAATACACTGCCAGGTAGTACACACCTGAAATCCCAGAAGTTTGGAAGGCATAGGCAAGGAGATCACACATTCAAAGGCAGCTTGGGCTACATAAGGAGTTCAAAACCAGCCAGGACAACTTAGCCATACTGTCTAAAAACAAAACTTAGGAGTGCTTGCTTTAACAGCACATAAACGAAAAACTGGAACAATACGGAGAATATCAACATGGTCCCTGCACAGGAATAGCCTACAATTATGAAGGAGCCCATATTTTTTAAGTAAAATTTTTATGTTTATTTGGATGTCTCTATATCAGTTTGTGCATGTGAGTGTAGTATGTGCAGAGACCAGAAAAGGGCACCAGGTCCCCTTGAGCTGGACTTGCAGCCAGTTGTGAGCTACCTGATATGGGTGCTGGGACCTGAACTCTAGTCTTCTCTCTGCAAGAGCAAATGATGGTCTTAACCACTGTACCACCTCTCTAGACCCTAAAAATAATTTTTGTTTGTTTTTTTGTTTTTCAAGACAGGGTTTCTCTGCGTAGCTCTGGCTATCCTGGAACTTACTCTGTAGACCAGGCTGGCCTCAAATTCACAGAGATCCACCTGCCTCTGACTCTCAAGTGCTGGGTTTAAAGGCGTGCCCTACCACACTCAGCTTAAAAAGTACACTTTAAAAAAGAGTCTGGGACTTGCCCTGAGTTCAATTCCCAGTACAACCTGCCACTACCCTCCCCCATCTGCCTTTTCTTTCCTCTTTGAGACAAGGCATGACTATGTAGCCCTGGCTAGTATGGAACTTGGTATGGAGACCAGGCCTGCTTCTTCTGCCTGAGTGATGGCTTTAAAAGTGTTTTTTTTTTTTTTTTTTTTTTTTTTTTTTGCTTGCTTGCTTGCTTGGTTGGGTTTTTGGTGTTGTTTATTTTTATGTACATTGGTATTTTGCCTGCATGTATATCTGTGTGCAGGTGTCAGATCTTGGAGTGACAGACAATTGTGAGCTGCCATGTGGGTGACTGGGAATTGAACCCAGGTCCTCTGGAAGAGTAACCAGTGTTCTTAACCACTGATCCATCTCTCCAGCCCAAAACAGTACTTTTAAAAAATATATAGTGCATGAAAAAAAGGGGAGATCTGTAGCATAGAGAATTAGGAAATCAAGAGGAGAAGTTACTAGTTACCTAAAATGAGGAAAGCAGTGACTGCCGCTTTTCATAAACCGTTCCAGCTCAAACTTGTCTTTTGCCCCGGAAACCTTTGACACAAATGATCTGTAAAACCTGAAGGGGTTGGGAATAGTCAAAGAACTCTGGAAACACAATTGCCTGGGAGAGGGGCTCCTCCAGGCCCACTGAGGGCGAAGGGAAACTGAGTTGATTCTTGTAGCACTTCCCAGTAAAATGTCTAAAGTTTCATTCTTCCAAAGCATAGGTTAAAGGAAACCTACAGTTTTTTCATTTACAACTCAGTTGCCTGTTGTGCTGTGATTATGTAAATAGAGAGCTGAGTCATTGCCTTTTCCATTAAAGCTGCTGCTATGGTATGGTTGAGGCTGGCCTACCAGAGAAGGGCCCAATACAGAATCTTTCTGGAAAATAATCAAAGTGCAACTTCTCTTTAAATACAAGGTATCTATGTAGCCCTGGCTGCCCTGTAACTCACTATTTAGACCAAACTCAGAGGGTCTGCCTTGCCTCCGCTGCCCAAGTGCTGTGATTAAAGGCCTGTGCCACCCTGAGAGTGATTTGACATAAACAATTGTATTAACTGCTTAAAACGGCAAATCTTTGTTTGTAGCTCCATGGCCTAATTAGTGCTAAACCTGCAGAAAGCACTGGGCTTAATCTCCAACACCAAAACAGACATCTAGGCCTTTAATCCCAGCCCTCAGGAGGCTAAAGCAGGAAGTTTGCTTCACATTTACATTTATTAATATTCATGGCACTGGTTAAGAGCACCCTATGCTCTTGTCGAGGAGCCAGGTTCTGTTTCCAGCACCCACATAGCAGCTCACAACTGTCTGTAACTCCAGCTTTAGGAGATCCGGTGTCTCTTCTGACCTCTATGGGTTCCTCATGTGCATGGTGTACCTTCGTACACTCAAGAATATAACAGATAAAATTAAGTAGTTTTTAAAATCCATTCGTATGTATGGGGTGAGCAAGTATCATGGCACATGTCTGGAGATCAGAGGATATCTTACACACACATTAAAATAAAATAAAATAAAATAAAATAAAATAAAATAAAATAAAATA